CCAGGACGCCGTTGTCCATGACGAAGCGCAGGACCTGCTCGTTGGACATGCCCTGGTAGGGCTGCTCGGCCAGCGTGGCGATCTCCCACAGCACCACGCCGAAGGACCTGCCGGCACGCTGCCGGTCAGCTGGGGGACATCCCCCAAATCCCCGCCCCCACCGGGCTCCCCCCAGCCCGACACCTACCAGACATCGGACTGCGTGTTGAAGATGCCATCCTTGAGCGCCTCGGGGGACATCCAGCGGACGGGGAGCAGCCCCTTGCCTCCTTTCCGGTAATAATCCGTCTCGTAGATGTCCCGGGTCATGCCAAAATCTGGGGGAGGAGGAAGAGGAGGAGGAAGTCATGAGCACAGAGAGGTGCGGGGGCTGGCAGCGAGCCTGCCCACCGCTGCCCACCCACCTCCGATCTTGACGGTGAAGTCCTCGGACACCATGCAGTTGCGGGCAGCCAGATCCCGGTGCACGAACTTGTTGGCGTTGAGGTACGCCATGCCGTCGGCGATCTCCCCCGCCATCTGGATCATGTCCTTGAGCGACGGCGGCGGCAGCCCGGGGTTGTTCTGCACCGTGCACAGAGGGTCGGGGCTGGGACACACACACACCGGGACCCCCTCGGGAATGGGGCGGGCATCCCTTCGCCCGTGGGGCCCTGCGGCGCCCGGCCAGCCCCTCACCTCAGCCTCAGGTCTGAGCGAGCGCAGGTAGCTCTTCAGGTCCCCACGTGTCATCAGCTCCATGATGACCAAAGCTGGCTGGCCCTGGGACACGACGCCAAGCAGACGGCCCTGAGGGGACAAAGAGGGGTGGCACGGGAGAAAAAAAATGTCCCCTCCCTCCCCCTCGGCCGCCCGCCTACCACGTGGTGGCACTTGAAAGCTTTCATGACTGAGGCCTCGTTGAGGAACTCGATGCGCTCCCTCATGGTGGCCAACTCGTTGACTGTCTTCAGGGCCACCTTGGTCTCCTCGCCCTCGGAGACCAGCCCCACCGCCAGCCCCTCATACACCATCCCGAAGGAGCCCTGCCCCAGCTCCCGGATCACTGTGATCTTCTCCCGCGACACCTCCCACTCATCAGGCATGTACACTGCAGAGCGAGGGGGGACCACCCCATCACTGTCACCATCCCCATCCCCATCCCTATCTCCATCCCAACCCCATTTCCATCATCCCTTTCTTCACCTCCATCTCCATCACTGTCACCATCCCCATCACCATCCCCACCCCATCCCCATCCCTATCTCCATCTCCACCTCCATCATCCCTTTCTCCACCTCCATCACCCCTTTCTCCACCTCCATCACCCCTTTCTCCACCTCCATCACCAACCCCATCTCAATCCCCATCTCAAT